ACCGTCTGCTTTGATATAGCTTCAAAACTGTATTTCTGAAGCCATAATCACCAGTGGAGGCTGTGATGGCTGTATCCAGTTTACACTGGACTCTAGGGGACAGATAGCAGCGTGGCAGTCAAGGGCTGTCTGGCACAGTGGCCCAGCCCTGTCACAAATAAATATTGTACAGTAATCATACAAATATGACTTCAAGCCAATCATCATATTCTGTAAGCAGTGGGCAGCCCATGGCCTGTTAAGCTTTCCTACAGGCTGCAGGCTGCCTGCCAGGTTCTCCCCTTGAGCAGGGATCCCTCCCAAGAGACTCCTCAAGGCTGAGAGACTCCTTGCTGTAACACACTGTGTAAGTGATTAATAGCATGCTAAACCTTGAAATCTCAGCTTACAAAGGACTGACAGTGCACATATCCTATAGACATAAACCACTGAAAAGTCTGGGACTTAGTTTGAACCCAGTCACACATGAACTCCCTGCTGAGGAGGTCAGAACACAAAGGAGTCCTTTCTGAACCTCATGACTCAACAAGAGGGTCTCCCTAAAAATTCTGATTTTATGCCCATGCACTAAATAAAAGTGTATCTTCCCACTGAATCTTGTTAAACTACTGTCACTGTGTTAACTCACTGTTTTCTATCAACACATTGTTTCTTCTCTCTTGTTAGTGAAGTGGATGACTCCATCTGCAACAGACTGAAGTACCTCTAACACTACACTTGCAAAGAATTATAAATGCATCTGCATTTGGGTTTCCTTGCTCTGACAGCCCTTAATCCCTCTGAGTAGGGTTTACAGGTGAAACATGAGGGGCCTTCAGTCAACTAAGAAATTGTACAAACAGTGAGTAATGAGATCCAGGTAACAGTCATGATTATATCATCAATTCATTATGAACAACCTCAAGGTTTGTTTTTATGCATTCAGACAAGTGATTCAAACAACAACTCAACAGTCCATGGTAAATTGTACTTTTACAAAAAGTGAGGATTTTCAACAATGTAATTTCACTTCATGTATGTAAAGACTGCAGACCCACTCTTTGTATGCAATGCTTTCAGCACTTGTCCCGCACTTTGAGAGACCTGAGCTGGACAACTGACCTCTCATGGCTGTGCCCCATGTGAAGACATCTTCTTTCTGCTGTCAGTCAGATTAACTGTTTACCTGCACTTCATACGAATACAGAATGCCTTCTGAACAACCATCTACTCCCTTTACCTCTACTCTGCCTACCTTTATCTTCTTGTTTCTTCCCAGTTAACAGCAGACTAGGAAACACAGTAATTAAAAAAATCCCTAGAAGGCTCTTGATCATAGACAGCTCCACCCTAGCAATCCAAATTTCAGGACTTATAAAGAGGTCATCACACAGTGTTCAATCATCCTTCAACTTGCTTGGTTGCTATCATGTCTGGTGGCTATCAGGAACTGGTAGGATGATGCTCACTGCTCCCCTGCTTGAGTTTTTATAAATTTCTCTGTGCACTGCGGATTAAAAAGGCTTCACAGTGCGGTCTCCTCCTCTCCTCCTCCACTAGACTGCAAGGACTGCCCACACACAATGGCCAAAGGCTTCTCTTCTCCTTCCAGTGAAGGATCAAGACAAGTTTCACCAAAATAACTTGTCAGGTGGAGCACTCATCTTTACACACAATAAGCAAACTATCTGCACAGGGGGAGAAAACACAAAACTCCATCCCCATCACCACTGTGTGCCTCTCTTTATCATCCACCTCTAGAAAACAGTATCTCTGTTCTGAAATTTCAGATCGACACAACAAACTTGTGAAGGGAATTAAACCTGAATGGAAAATCCCATAAGAAACAAGTCAACAAAAGAGTGAAGCCCAACCAGATTAAATGTCATCAATGACAAATCTGAAGAGAACTCCTGCCAGAGGACTCAACCATATAAATAATTTTGACAGCTTTCACTGTCAAAGAGGAGGAAATCCTAGCATTAAACTAAGAATGCAGGCAGGACCAACCAGTCTCTTCTTTATGTTTATCTTTCTGCAGGTATTTTGTTTACTCAATTGTGCATGCTAGCACACAACTCATTTGCTTCCTGCTAAAGGTTCTCCAGTGCAAAGAGTTTCCAGGATCACTGGAAATTTCAGAATGCCTGTTCTCCACAGAGAGGTCCTGGGCACCCTTCTAGGAGTACACTGACCACTGAGAGTCAAGGAACACAGAAGGTTGCAGTATGCTCCTTCTCACTTCCCAAACTAATAAATTCAACCCCTGGGAGAGATCTCCTAGAGCAGAACTGACAACCAGTAAAGGTGCCAAGCTTTGGGGAGTGCCCAGAAAGAAACTAACATTTTACTGTTCAAAAAACCAAAAATCCCAGCACAAACTTCAACCCTGAAATAGGAGGGAAATGGTGAGGTTTCAGTTTTTCTGTAATGCAGCCTGGGTTGGATAATCCTCCAGAGCAGCCAGATGCTGAGAACAAGAGCAGTGAAGGTTGCTACAAGCTGGACTCTTCACTAAAGAGTTCCCTGCTCCTATTTCCTCTCTGTACCACACCGAGCACAGCCCCAGCAGGCAGTGCTTCTGACAGAGCACAGAGAGCATGCCAAAAGGAAATCCATCACTTTGATCAGCAATGAGGCCTACAATCTCATTCCCCCAAAAACATTATAGAATGCCTCCTTAAGAGTTTTTTTTATGGGGCCTTCCAGCATGCCAATACAGTGAGATACTAAGTGAGTCAGAGTTTTGGAAAGAACCTGAGATGCCCTGCAAGTGAAAGCTCTGCTTCCCAGAATGGAGAAAAGAAACTGTAAGTGTTGTTTTAAGAAGAACTGGACCTAACAAACTCTGGTGCATCCCTGCCCTTACACTGCAGAGTCACACTATGATCTGAGCATAGGAAGTCTCCCTTTTCTCCTCAACATCACTGTGCTCTCAAAAGACTCTGCTCTCCGTTTTTGAAATTATTATTTAGCCAAAATCTGCAGAGCAAAGATCTCCCACATACGTTGCAGTGCAAGACTGGGGAGACAGCCCAAGCAAGCCCTGTTTTCCTGCAGAGCTGATCTCAAGCCACCCAGCAGCTATTGGCCCTGGATGCAGAGAACAGCCTTCAGACACAACAGTGGGAACCAAAGTTCACTGTTAAACACCTGTAAAACCACTCCTTCCCCGTAAACTTGTAAAGCATGGAGGCTGATGAACAACCAGGAGGACTTTAGTTAATACTGACCTCCAAAGAGCATCTGCAGCTCCCAAAGTCTGGATCAGAATGGTGGGTGGCTAATCATGGAGCTAGGAGGCTAAGATGAGGCACCAGCCTCTGTTACAGCCTCTGGCTCAGCTGTTCAGATGCACCTCCCACAGACAGTCTGCAGGGCATTTACAAGGAAACATCATACACCACTAAGCTGCCATGGGAGGAACTGCAGCAATTTCTGAGACAGCAAATTAACATGGGTTGCATCATAAAAGTTGGAGTGCTTAAGCTATTTGTGGCTGGCAAACAAGCAGACTCAGTGCTACCAGCAGGTGACTATCACATGAAATTCAACATAAAGAATTTGGGTAACAAGATCGCATTCTCTCAAGAGAACAGGGCAAAGTACAGCAAAGTATCCAGGTTTGAGGTGGAATTTCCAGTCATGCAAGCTACCTGCACTGTGAGATGTTCCAGCAGCTTTGACTAACCTCTGCAGAAGGTCTGACTGCAGCACAGTGGAGCCCTAACAGAGCAAGAAAGAGTTCAGGCTAGAAACCAACAAGTCTGGCTTTAATATTCATGAAACATATGCCTACTGGGTCAAGGTTATCAGTGGAGCTAATTGAAGAAGCCAGCAGTAAATCCCCAGTTAATGATTTGAGTCAGCAAATAAATCAGAGACAGCCTTGAACAGTGTCTCAGAGAAGACACCACCAGGTGACTGCATAATAAAACCTGAGGCTCAGGATACAGGAGCAAAAGCTAGAAATACAAGTGCTGCAGGTCCCATACCTGAGCTCCCTCTCGCACCAGGTTCTTCTCCGCTATCAGATGCCTGGGTTTACTGGCTGAGGCAAGTAATAGAGGGCTGAGGAAGGCAAAACACAAATTTGCAGAGCCCAAACAGCATTTCCTCCTTTGGCATCAGCACTGCCTGTGCAGGCTGAAGCTGCCTTTTGAGTGGAGCCAGCTCCAGGCACTGGCAGGGCACTGACTCAGTGTGGAACTCCTGCCAAACCTCAGCTAAGTGCTTTGAGCCAGCTCAAGTACTTTAAAAACCACTGCACTTTTAACCCACAAAAGCAAGCTCTTTCTGTGCATTCAGTTTTACCTGAAGCTATGAAAGCCAGCTCACAGTTTGCAAGGGAACAGCCTGTGGACATGCAGAAGAGCACACTGAAGAGAAGGGTTAAACCTGTTGGTACCAGTGATTATTTTCATCTCTCCCAAAATATCTATCTGCCATAAGCCTCTCTGCATGCACAACTGGCCAAGTGTAATACAATAAAAATATTAAAAGTTTTTATTACCCTGTTTTCCTAAAATAAGATTTTGATACAGGCATTAAAGCAGTTGCTGTGTCCTGTATTCCAGCTTTAGAAGTTCCTGGCCAATGCCAAGTAAAGCATTCAGCTGCAGGGCAACATAGCAATAGTAACATTACTCTTGTGACAGATAACTGGTGACCCTTTACTTAAAAGAAGAAAATGCCTTCTCTAGTACTACCCTCTTTGGAAGCATGGGGAAGGGAACATTTTAAATAGAGCCAAGTCAAAGGCAAGGACTACAGCAGAACAGAGGAGAAAGAAAAGCGAGGCAAAGGCAGGTTTCTAGGTGGGAATAACTTTGCTAGGAGATGGAGACCTGTACTTACTTTATGCAGCCACAGGGGTATGTTTTCTAAGTTATTGTGGGATGGTTGCTTCTGCTGCACAGCTGCCCAGCAGTAGGAGTCCACATAAGCAGCTTGTCGCCAGGAGAAAGAGCTGGGTGCAAAACAGCTTATCTGAGCACCTGGGGAAACAAAGCCAAAGTTATTGCATCCTCAAAAGATTAAAAAAAAAAGAAGAAGAAAACAAGCTGAGGAAGAAAAGAACACACCTAAGATGTTATGGCATCCCAAGTTATTAGGGTAAGTGATCAGACAAAACAGAGCAGTTCTGGAGGGAGGAGGGTCACTGCGCTCTCACTGCACCCAAAAGCTCTAATTCCCACGGGGATCCAAGGATGTCTTGTAATGGTTGAGGCAGCATATTAGAAACACCTACCTTTAAGGCTATCTCCATAAGTTTTGTGGGGAATGTGATCCCAAAGACCTTTCTCACCTGCACTTAACTCAGGCTGGCCAAAGGGGAACCAACAAAGTGTGACCAGACAAGGCCTGAGGCAACAAAAGCCATCACATACCATCCTGTCACTATTTCCCAAAAGCACAACCTACAGCTCACATGTCTATCAAAACAAGACCTCAAACTCCATTCTTGCAGCCCAGCAATCCTTGCAATGATGGAAGAGCAACTTTTCCCAGGGTGCTGCCACTTCTTCTGCCTCTGAGACTGCAAATTATTTTGAGGGGTTCAAGCTATATGGGTGGAAACAAGGATTTCCTCTTGGAATTTTTGGCAGAGAAACTGTGACCCCAGACACCTCCAAAAGGTGCCAGGCTCCTCCTCTCCAGTACAGTGCCCAAGATCATGCATGAGACTGTCATCCCCATTCATTCCTGGGGCCTCTCCTGCTGCTCAGGAGCTCAAAATAAGATCAAGCAGCCAACCTCAGCCTTAGGGTCAAATCCTGCTCTGACCAGTCACAAGGCACCAGGTGACTCCTCCTCCAGCATATCTCAGCCAGGAAGAGTGGTTATGGGACATGAAGTATCAGTGGCTCCTCTGATAAAGCCAGTAATGCAGGATGAGAGGGTTCAACTTTCTTTCTGAAGCTTTGATAGTGAAAGCAATACCCCCCAAAACACATCCATTTCCACCAGACTTTCATAAATGTTGAAATAGGACAGTCATTTCAACAAAAAACTACAGAGAGATGAGATGCCTCTTCCATGAACAGTTCTTCTAAGAGCAACTTCCAACACAATATAAGAAAGAAGGAAAATATTGCTGTATTTTTCCCTCAACACATTCATCTAAGATGTGCTAATGGCATTGCTATGTGCTTTATGGGAATAAGTATTTAATATAAGATTATATCATTTGTTGTATCTTTTTGCTTGTTTAGCTTTCAGATAGTAAGAACTTGTTTTGGAAAAGAAGTCAGCTGCATTCACCTTGTAACTTTTACAGCCTGTTTACAATGTAGCACTGTCAAGGAGCTTTCTGAATAAAAGCCTTTCCATTTGAGCCACTCTTATAATTATTTCTAAGGCTGTGGTATCATAAGGACATGGTTTGATCATCAGGGTTTGACTTGCCACAAGCCTCCCTTACAGAAAACAAGTTACTGTTTATTAGAGCTGAGCTCACGTGACTTAGCAAAGTTGGCACCAGGCAGGCACTTGCACTCCCCCAAAGCTTTGGGAGTTTTTGTTTTCCAGATGATTTTAATTAGTTGTGAAAACCCAACAAATAATATATTAGAGAAAAAAAGGGGCAGAAAAAAAAGCAAATAAAAAAAAGCAGGCATTTAGTGACTGCTGTCCACTGGATGGGACCATTTATGCCCTGCTCTCATCATTTAACCAACCTGCTGCTGGTAGCTGTGCCCAGCATGGAGCAGCAAACAAGTGACCCTTTCAAAAGGACAGCAATGGAGTGCTCAGAAAGATGCTTTGTCTTATTCATGTCTGTGTATTCCACAAAAAGAAACACATTCCGTGTGTTCATTCTCACTAAAAGGCAGGACACCACTTAAAGTGATGGAGTGTTTAAAAGGCAGGAGTGATGAAAAGGGCAGCCACACCCCTTCTCCAAAATTAGTGATGACAAATGCACCCAGACTCCTTCTCCAAAATGTCGTATGCACAGCTTTATACCAGAATAGCTACAGTGAGGCCCGTGCTGCAGCAGAGCAGTGAACACCACTCTTCTAATCCCCGTGTTTCAGCAGGGACATGGCAAACCTGACCAAGGAGCCAAGCAGATGCAGCTCAAGCAGGGGGGACACTCCAGCTGTTGTGCTGGTTTTTAACTACCTGATTGCAGTCTTGTTTGTAAACACTTGTTAATTCAAATTACAACTTTGCAGTAATGGTAATAATGTTAATCTTAAACAGGGAACATGTTTTTGTGCATCGTCCCTACAGAACATAGATCATTAAATTCCTCAGAAAAAGGTCACCATTTTCCATCTTTTTTCCCATCCTTCTCTCCTCCAAAAGAGTAATAGTAGTGTATATAGAGAGATAATTTATTTCATGTCAGACTATTTTAGAAGAAGTAAAAATCTGTAGTGAAAGAAAGTGAAAAGAAATACGGCACAGGGCTATGTGCCTTCCACAGACCCGCTGTGCACATCTATTCACAGGGCTAGTTTATGAGAGGCTAACAGTCCTCTGCTATCAAAGAAACAGCCTCCTGGCTCAGTGACATGAACCCATTCATGTCCTTTGCTCCCACAAGTAATAGCCTGGGAAAGAGAAAAGCAGCAAACAAACTCATAACAACAGGGAGATAAAATATACAGTAGGAAGGATGAAGAGTAACAAATGATTGTATTTGTTAAGCAGTCATCACAACAGTTTTTGGCCAATTTATCATTACACTTGGCAATGCACTGTTTTTGTAATCATTCCCTGGTACTAAATTGGCTTTGGAGAGGGAGCTACAGGGATGTGACTTACATTTTTGCAAACAAATGAGGATAAAAAAATGCTACTGGACATTTTGCATGCACTCTAAAACAGAGCCCACCCAAAAGAGCTGCAGAAAACTAAGGCACCAACAGGTGCAGCCATGTATGATGACACTTTTCCAACAGTGCTAAGATGGAGCTGGTCATTGCAGCAGGAATTACTTGCAGGCACTCAACTGGGTGCAGAGTACAAGCTTCAGTCACTGCAGCCAGCGCACAGCGAGGATGAGCTGTCACCCCACCCTGCTGTGGCACATCTTTGTGGGTGCTTTGCCAACAAATTTCCAGCTATTGCCTCTATGTCTGTACCGGGAATATCTTTTTTTTCCCTGTAACTGGCTCCTCTGCAGCTCCTATGCAGGAAATCTATGTATGAGAAGCAGGAAATCTATGTATGAGAAGAAACTCTCAGAACCCCAAGGAAATCTCAGATTGAAAGGAGAGTCTCTATTCGGCACTGGACTGCTCTGCTGGGTGCAAGGCAGGATGAGCTGAGGGATCAGCACCCTCTGGCTGCATCCCTCACAAAAGGGAGGGCAAAGCCAGCAAGCCAAACTGATTTCCTCGTCAGCAGCTCAAAACCTGTCTGCTGACTTACACATCTAATTAAGAAACTGCAACTAGCAGAGATGACTTCCAAAAATCAATGCTAATCACAGGCATAACTATTTTTCCTTAACCAGGATCAAATGACTGCAGTTGACAGGATGAAACCTTTAGCAAGTAATTATTTGGATTCCAATACACTGCCATCACTGCAAAGAGATCTGCATACACTTGGAGGAAACCCTTTACTATTTAGCCATTAATTATTGCTATAATTTTCCACGAGGCCAAATGAACTTGCCATGATACCCAAACATCTGATTCTATCTACAAGAATTATGCACTTTAGTAGCCACTAAATACTCAAACAAGAAAATCAAGGCACAAACAGACAATGTACAGACTGCCAGGCACCATCCAAGGCACATCCTTCACCCCAACATTAAGAAGTATCTTAAAATATGAAAAAAATCCCAACACATACCAAAGAAGAAACAAATGTACATGTGGGTGTACAAGTATATACACATGCATTAAGAGCAGACCTGAAGGAATTATTTTATTTTATTTATAGATGCTTCTCACAGACTGAAGTGGCAGATTGGGTGAAACAGAAAAGACACTGTGTTGAAGAAGGAAGTATGGAGGAAATAGATGCAGAGGAGAAAAGTACCTGTTAACTAAGGTACTCTGGCAATGGAATAGTACAAGAATGTAAAGCTCAGCTGATTCAATATTTAAGTGGAGTGGGTCAGAGGTGTTAGCAACTACATTTCCCTCTCCATGGGGCTTTCAGTTATCCCCCAGAAGAGTCTCAAAATCATGCAATGGGAAAAGAAAAAAAAGCATTGCCTTACCATAAGTAAGCTTTTTGATCAATGGGGAGAAAGAACTGTGAATAAAATTCCACCACTGAGATTCAAGGAAAACAAAGAAGTTTCCCTTCATTTGAAGGAGAAACATTTCAAAACAGCGGTGATGACCATCTAGCTTCACTGCCAACATGGGTGGGACCCCAAATCTCAAGCAACACCAGAGGCCTATGATGCTTTTTACATTTACTCTGGCAGCAAAAGCAGCTCACCATCATTTCCACAGGAAATGTAAAGCTGGCTCTGTAGGAATTGAACAGAAAAGAATCTTACCAGAAGCTGAAGATGCTCACCCAATGACAGTATAGATGTGACATTAAAGCAAAGTTTTTGCAAGTTTTTCCTGGCTGCCCAAGCAGGCCTGTGCCTGATGCTGGGGCTCCTGCTCTTTCCCAAGCACTACTCACATTCTGAAGAGCAGCACAGTGTATCCTTCTGAGATCTGCACCTCTGCTGACAGAAGTTCTCAGCCTGTCTGGCTGCTCTGCACTGAGGCTCCTCGCACACTTGTTCTCTCAGCTCTTCATTAATGCCCTGGGTTTCAGAGCATCCTGCTGAATTAAATGCAAGGTGTGCAAATGCCTTGCATTTAATTCAGCATACAACCTGCTAAATTAGCATACAACCTGCTACAGCAGCACTGGGAGGGACTTTTCCAGCTCTCAGTCAGCAGCTGCCACAGTAATAGTCTTTGGCCTAATTACACCCAACCCAACTTCAGCCCCCAGCTCTCACAGAAGTCACAAGATGGGATCATTTCCCAAAAGCCTCCCCAGGAACTTGTGAACAAGGAGAGGGACATCAGCAGGGAGGACCAGATGCGGCAGCAACAAAGGAAAGAAGCCAAATTCAAGACTTAAGAGTGCTTTTTTCAAGGTATTTGTTGTGTTTTAGTCTCATAATTGAGGTGTTTTTTCCCCTTTCTATATATTTTATTCTCATGACTGCTTGAGACACATGATTAACCTGTATAAAGAGATGAAGGCCCCATGCAACAAGGGGCACTGCAGGTGGGCACTGCTGCCATCGTGAATCCCACAGAAGCTGCTGGGATGCAGTATCCAGAGCTCCTCACTAACACATTCACTCTGTGTATTCCACCAGCCAAAGCATCTCAAATCCCACAGGCAGCCAGCTGCAAGGATGGAAACTGAAAGAACAAACTGGGTGAAAAAAACTGCCCAGAAATTATGTGGAAATTGAGCAGGGCAAGCAAGGATTGTCACCACTGGGAAAGCCCAAAGTGGTCAGTGGGGACATTAACCATGTCACGTGTACAGCATAGGGCAAGGTTCCACCTTTCCACCTTTGAGCACCCTCCAGGAAAGATGCACCAGAAAGCAGGCACTAATCCCAGAATTCCAGCAGTGCTCACTGGCTGGGCGCTGCAGCTGCATTTTCCATGCTTCCAGCAGAGAAATCCTTTCTGATTCAGCTGGAATCTCATTTATTTCCTGAAAATCCCATCAAAACTAGAAGTCATTCAGTGGCTTCAGAGAACCTCCATGGCCTTTGTAAACATTTTAGCAATTTTGCATAATTAAGAGCAACCTTACGTAGGAGGAAAAATGCAGAATGACACCACGCTGCAACGGAACAGGAAAGCAGAGCAGGAAGGGAAGGGTGACAGGATGAGGTGCCAAGAGAACCTGAGGTGGAAAGGATGCAATTATCCTAACAGAAATAGGAGCTCAGCATTCATGTTCTAAAAGGGTGTTCAGTTTTTGTACTCTGAGGCAGGTATTTTCACCAAACACTTCCACATCCACCTCTGAGTTGCTCTTTTTCAGACCTAAAAGTGGACCCTGACATTTTCTCCCAGTTTAGTGCTCCTGAGCCTTTTCAGAGCATGACTGTATCAGGAAGTGTTTGAAAACAAACCTTGCTGTCTATTTTATCGCTGGCTGAACACCACAGCTCACATAACCAGGCATTTCCAGCCCCTAAAACATTCTCTGTTCCCCCAAATACCTTAATGGAAGCAGTTTGGGCTGTCCTGTAAGCAGCCAGACTGTTGAGCTGCAAGTTCTGTGTGGGAAAGAGGTGACAGCTGTAAAAGCAGCGTGGCTGATTTACTATCACTTTCTGTATGGACACCACGTGGTGCAGTTTCACCCATGCCCAGACCCTGACGTATTTCTCGTACCTATTTTCATATCTATTTTTCAACTAAAAAAAGCTCAGTTTTCAACCCTGTGTTTTCTTCTAACAGCTTATCACGATTATAAGCAAAAAGAAACACTAGCAAGATATAGTCCACATTTTTGTTCTCGCTTTATGAATCTACTGCAGTCACAGATTCAATCTAGTTTTACTTTTAATAATGAAATAATGGAAAGATGAGAACTCATCTGAAAGAAAGGCACACTTTTCTGAACTCTGCAGTTCAATGGTGTGTTTGATCTTAATGTAAGGGAGGAAAATGAAAGAAATAAAAGAAACCTTGATACACAGGCACTGTTTCAAAGTGGATCCAGCACTCCCAGAGTAGAAGCAGAAAGAACTAAGAGACCCATATAGAAGCTAGTGTATGGAAATGCAAACCCTTTTTCACTGCTTTAAGAGGAGGAAATCCGCACACACCAGTAACAGATCTAAAACTAAAAGAAGCAGGTTAGAGTACAGAAATAGGGTTGCATCCATGTGGTTTCTGGATGAACAGAGCTGCCAGAGGGTTCACATCTGGTCTCAGCATTCCCAGCCTGGCTGTCCTTTGCTCCCCTGGACAGTTACTGCAGGCCACAGTGACGTGGGTCAAACCCACACCTACTGCAATAGACGTGTAGCTGTTTGTAAACACAACAATCTGGGGCTTCTTATCTCTTAAGCAGTCTGGTGTCTGACTAATGCTATTCGTGATGGCTTTGCAGATGCATCACTAATTCAAAGTCCCATTCCAGCTTCCACCCTCCTGACATTCACCTAATGAATGACCTAATCCTGTAGATGATGGAGATCAGGTATACAACACTGAACATCAATAAACAGGTACATGTAGTAAACTAAACTCTCTCTGAAAGGTGGGAAATCTTGTGCTTTATCCCTATCCCGAAAGGGACAGTACTGCTTATTCACCTTTGAAATCTTCATTCATATAATACTATTCTTATAGAATCATAGAAAGGCATGGGTTGGAGGAGACCTTAAAGATTCACTCCCCAGGCTACACGAGCACTTCTGTAACTTGGAGATGGGGGTAAAAAAAGGATAGTAAAATAATTAGGAAACTTAGCTCTTCATCTATAAAGCAGTTTTCTCTCCCGAGTGGCAGCAGAAATTGAAAACTGAACTGGAACAACTGCAGAAGTGCAGCGGAGTGGGGGAAAGTTTTGGAGACCTTTCCCGCTGCCCACCCTGTGGATGACCAGCCCCATTGAGCCGCCCGCAATGTAAAGGCAGAGCTCTGACAGCCCTTCTCCGTGACACCTGTCCCTGACAGCTGCTGAGCCACACCGAGATCCTGCTGCCAAACACCGAGCGCCGGCAGCCGGGCAGTTCCCGGGCACATCCCGGCTGGCCGCTCCAGGCTGAACTGCGCTGGGAACAAAGAGCGGCACGGCTGCAGCGCTCCCCATCACTCGCACGGCTGGGCTGACAATGCTCCTGCTCGGGAGAGAACGGCAGGGCCAGGGAATGCCCCAGCGAGGAGGAGGGCACGGGGAAGAGCGGGGAGGGCCGGCCAGGCAGCCCAGCACACCTGGATGAGCCTGGCGCCAGGGATGCTCTCCGGAAGGCTGCTTTCCGGGAAGGCAGGCCCCCTGCCCGCGGCCCAAAGGCGCCCTCTGCTCTGCCCTGCGCTGCCCCGAGCGGGAACCCTCCGGCAGCCGAGCCCCACAGAGCGCCGCTCCCGCCCCGCCGAGCCCTTTGTCCGCAGCGGGAGGCGCCGGGAACCGGGAGAGAGGTTACCGATGGAGACCTCCTGGGCGAAGGCGAGGGAGATGAGGAGCAGCGGCAGCCCCACGGCGATGCAGGTGACGATCTTGTCGAGCGCCAGCTCCAGCCGCAGCCCCTTGTAGCGCGTCTCCGGCGGCTCCTTCAGCAGGAAGTCGGAGAACACGTACTCGGTGGCGATGTGCGCGATGGCCATGGCGGGCTCGGCACGGCTGGGCTGGCCTGTCCCGGGCTGGCCTGTGCTGGGTTAGGCTGTGCTGSGCTGGGTTAGGCTGTGCTGKGCTGGGTTAGGCTGTGCTGKGCTGGGYTAGGCTGTGCTGGGCCCCGCCCRGCTCCGCCCCGCAGCCCGGCCCGGCCCCGCCCGGCGAGGGGGGCGGGGGGCGCGGAGCGGCGTGCTGCTGGTCGGAGCGGGGACTGTGGGCTGTGCCGGCCGCCCTGGGGGTCACTGAGTCACGGAATAGCTTGGGTTAGGCGGGCTAAAGATCATCCGATTCCAGTCCCCCGGCTGTGAGCAGGGACACCTTCCGCTAGACCGGATTCAGCCTGGCCTCAAACGCCACCAGCRTGGGGCATCCACAGCTCCCCTGGGCAACCTGTGCTACCCGTGCCACCAGCCTCACAGTAAAGAATTTCTGAATAAAATCTGTTCTAAACCCACCCTCATTCAGTTTAAAGCCATTCCTCTTTCTCCTATCACTGCATATCCTTGTAAAGTGTCATTCTCCCTCTTTTTTATAAGCCCCCTTAGGTACTAGAAAGTCATAGGGAAGTTTGTCTAGTGCCTTGTCTTCTCTGGGCTGAACAATTGCTATTCTCTCAGTCTGTCTTCCAGGACAGGTGCTCCAGCCCTCCCTTGCRTCATCTTTGTAGCCTCCTCTGGATGTGCTCTAGTGTATCCATGTCTTTCTTACACTGAGCTGGACACAGCACTCCAGGTGAGGTCTCATGAGAGCAGGGTAGAGAGGCAGAATTCCCTCCCTCACCCTGCTGCCGACACTGCTCCAGATGCAGCCCAGGATGATGTTGGCTTTCTGCACTCCGAGCATGCTGTTGGCTCATGTCCAGCTTTTCATCCACGAGAACCCCCAATGAAGGGGCCTTCCATGAGTTCTTCTCCCTGTCTGTACTCATGCCTGTGGTTGCCTCAAGGCAGGTACAGTGTTTGACTTCTTGTGTCACGGTTTGTGCCCACCAGCTCAGGTTATCTCACCAGGCACTGCCAAGAACAACCCGACTCTGTCCACGTTAGGCTCCCATCAGCTGTTTGCACACACAGGATATCCCGTGAGCCACCTTCTCCAGGCCGATGAGTCCCAGCTGTCTTGGCACACACCTTCCCACCCCATCTGACAGATGCTCCGAGCCCCTAACCTACCCCTAACCATCATGTAGTGTGGTACTTTCCCCACACAAAATGTTTGATCACTGCTTCTCAGGTCACTTCTCGTGGGAGTCTCTGGGATGCTTTCACCTTTAATAACCCTTAATTTCTTTGCCCCTCTATACTTTTSCTGTTAGCTTCTGGACCTCTGTAAGCTTGAAGCATCCTCAGTCCTGTCAGCCCCAGAGTCACAGAAGTCACATGTCTACCCCATGATGAGCCACCTTCTCTGCTTTGCTTTCATGGAACACTCCCCAGTTCATTGCTTTCTACCAAAGGGACAAACTATTCCCTTCTCCACTCAAYTCCCCCTTTATGAAACTGCTGTCCTATCTGCTTTCAGTTGTCCTCTCTAGTTTTTCCAAGCCATAAGCCAAGGAAATAATTCCTCATATGGCAACTGTTCTACAATGCCAATTCCCTTTCTTATTCTATTTGTGCTGCTGTGCCCTTTGCGGGATGAGGCCAGGAGGTTTGACTCATTCTGTGTACAAGATGCAGGAGCTCCAGACATTTATGYAATGGGACTAAGGGGTTTTGTGTTTTGCTCTCTTCTTAATTTGTACTGATTCCTAATATTTAATTGCCCTTCTACCCACTAAAAAACCCTGGAGCTAATGTTGTCAATTAAGTATTACAWATAAGATCCCATTTCTGAGATGCTTACACAGTGCAATCCACATAAGGTTAGGATTGTTTTTTCCAGAGGTAATACTGTAAATGTATCACTATTAAATTTTGTCCATTTTTTAACTGGTTTTTTTCATGCTACATGTGCTTGAGATTGTCACTCAACTTGTCCACTCTTTTACACAATGTTTACAAGAAATAGTGAAGAGCAAGGGGCCTTGTAGCTCCCCATGAGTGACTTTCAACATGAAATCTGACCACTTTTCWCTGTSTTTTAACCAGTTTTTTTWAMCYYCMWKGRMT